GAGTTTGAATATCATTTTCTTGAGCTTGGTTTGAGTTTGAATATCAATTTCTTGAGCTTGGTTTGAGTTTGAATATCAATCGCTTGAGCTTGGTTTGAGTTTGAATATCATTTTCTTGAGCTTGGTTTGAGTTTGAATATCAATTTCTTGAGCTTGGTTTGAGTTTGAATATCAATCGCTTGAGCTTGGTTTGAGTTTGAATATCATTTTCTTGAGCTTGGTTTGAGTTTGAATATCAATTTCTTGAGCTTGGTTTGAGTTTGAATATCAAGTTCTTGAGCTTGGTTTGCGTTTGAATATCAATTTCTTGAGCTTGGTTTGAGTTTGAATATCAATTTCATTTCTCTAAACATCAGGAAAGAGTGAGATGCACGTCTGTTGTAGACCCGATCCAAGTGTTAAAACGAACATCACAACTAGTGAAGAGTTCTTGCCTCGCCAAAATGGCGATCTAACGATCATGTATGATGTGACAAGAACCTATGATTCAAGTTATTGGGCACAAGTCAAAATTTCTAACCATAATCCTCTTGGTCGTCTTGATTATTGGAAGTTGAGCTGGGAATGGATGAAGGATGAGTTCATCTATTCAATGAAAGGTGCTTATCCTTCTGTTGTTGATTCTACTGATTGCATTTTTGGTAGACAAGGCACTTATTATAAGGATTTAGACTTTGCCAATGTATTAAGCTGTGAAAAAAAGCCAACAATTGTTGATTTGCCTCCAACTAAGGCCAACGACACTACGCTCGGGTTGATCCCGTTCTGTTGTCGAAATGGGACGATCTTGCCTTCTCATATGGACTCAAGCAAGTCGATTTCAGCGTTTCAAATGCAAGTTTTTAAAATGCCACCAGATCTCAATAGATCTCAGATTACACCACCTCAGAATTGGAAGATCAGTGGCGTTCTAAACCCGACGTATAAATGTGGTGCTCCATTGAGGGTAAGTCCTAGCGAATTCCCAGACTCAAGTGGTTTACCATTGAATTCGACTGCAGTGGCTAGTTGGCAGGTTGTTTGTAATATAACCCACGTCAAGGACGACACACCAAAATGCTGTGTTTCATTTTCAGCTTACTACAACGATTCTGTCGTCCCGTGTAGAACGTGTGCTTGTGGATGCCCGCATAATGCTGCTCGTACATGTAATGCAACGTCCTCTGCAATGCTCCTCCCACCGGAAGCCCTTCTTGTTCCGTTTGAGAATAGGACCGCCATGGCTGTGGCTTGGGCTGGTCTTAAACACTACCCAATTCCCAATCCCATGCCTTGTCCTGATAACTGTGGTGTGAGTATCAATTGGCATTTGTATACCGATTATAGAGACGGATGGAGTGCAAGGATTACTCTCTTCAACTGGGACGAAGTGAACTTTGCAGATTGGTTTGCTGCAGTTCAGATGAAGAAAGCAGCACCTGGTTTCCAGGCAATGTACTCGTTCAACGCGACGACCTTGGAACTGGATGGTGCCAATAATACTATCTTTATGCAGGGTAATCCTGGACTAAACTATCTCGTAGGCGAAACGGACGGAGTCCACCCAGAAAGGGATCCGAGGGTACCCGGAAAACAGCAATCTGTGATATCATTTACAAAGAAGAACATACAAGTTCTTAACATGGCTGCTGGAGATGGGTTCCCCACTAAAGTGTTCTTCAATGGGGAAGAATGTCTACTTCCAAAATCATTCCCTGTTAACGACAGCCGAAGGAACTTAGCTTCGTTAATTCCGAGCATCCTAATGCTACTATTCGTGTTCGTGTTTGTTCAGCAATAGCCCGGAAAGAACGAGAAGAATCACATTATGTTGTAGCTGCTGTTAATTGTTTTATTCTTTGAAGGATTGAAGATGAAATGGAGCATTTTCAGGGACTGACTGAGATGAACACTGAGAAATGATAGGTTTTATGGTCACTCAACACTAGAAGAAGCTACACCATGGCTCTGCCAGTTCTCCTGGCTTGTATTTTTTGAACTTTTGTGAATTTTGTTATTATAAATGTTTCCCCTACTTTTCCTCATATATCAATTAGGACCTTTGTTTTTTATATATTTATGATTCGAACTCTTTTTGGGGCAACATTTTCGATTCGAAAGTTTCTTTTCTTATGAAATTTAGTGTTAAAATTATATTTATGAGAACAGATTTTAGACGGACTTAAGGGCATGTATTATATATTGTGAGATCTCACGTCGATTGGAAAGGGAAAACGAAACATTAAAGAGGGTGGAAACTTGAGACACGTTTTAAAACCGTAAAGCTGACGGCAATGCGTAATAGACTAAAACAGTTAATATCTACTAACAATATCATGAGATCCCACAGAGGATGTTTGGTGGATTATGAGATCCTACCGAGGATGTTGGACCCTCAAAGGGCAGATTGTGAAATCCCACGCAAGAGAGATGAACAAAACATTCCTTATAAGAGTGTAGAAACCTCTCCAGACATATTTTAAAACCGTGAAGCTGATGGCAATACAAAGCAGACAATATTTGCTAGCGATGGACTTGAGTCACACCATGTTATATAAAACGAGAGAAAATAGCTGAAAGTGAAAGACGAATATGAATGGCAATGAAAATCTCAAAATTTTACGATTACAAAAGGATAACTTAGTATCTCTAAACTGGTGTCTTGAACCATATAGCAGAATATGTACATGAAAGTGAACTGCAATTGCTATGAACATAGGAAGAGTATTGTTTCAGTAGGTTATGGAGTCATAAGGGGTCCTTAAACCTGGCAATTGCATCAAAAATCTCAATTCCATGAGCCAAGAGCACCGACGTAGCGCCCAATTCCACAACCAGACTCGAGTTCGTCTCTCTGTGGAAGCGGTCGAAAGAATCTGCACATTATGCAATTTGCATACTATGCTTCAGTGCTAAATGAACTTCACAATATTACATCTAAAATGATCTGCCTGCTGATAAGCAATGGCTGTTCATAATGGCTGTTCATATGCTTTCCAAGCTAGACCAACATTCTTAAACAGGAGTATTATGATGAAACCATTCCAACTCACTTTCAGCTGTTGCAATGCTTCCCTGCTGCTGTGAAACAACATATTTACAAAGTTTATTAGTAATAATTCATCTTACGAATACACCGGGGAGGGAGAGTGTAACAGCCCAAGCCTACCGCTAGTAGATATTGTCCATTTTGGCTCACGGTTCTGCTAAGGAGAGATTTCCACACCCTTTTAAGGAATGTTTCGTTCCCCTCTCAAACTGATGTGGGCTTGGGCTGTTACAAGGGGTGTGTTGCGCAAAATACAATGGTACTGCAATCTAACCTGTTTAAGAAGTGCACTCATTAGGTCCTCCTCCTGACCAAAGTGTTCAGAAAAAAGGTCAGTTTGACTGCTAGTTTCCGAAGCTCGTTCCATTTTAACTCTCACCGAGCCATCATCGAAAAGAGGATTGAGTTGTTGACCCATACTTTGGGCATTCCCATTGTCACTTCCTTCTTCCAACAAGAACATGGCCTTGCCTACCGTAGATGTGTGCCTGTTATGTCCATTTTGTTGGCTAGAGGCATACCCTTGATGACCAAATGCTGCGGTCGGAATGTCAAGACTACCTTGCGATGCATCGAAGGTCACACCTACGTGTTGCAAGTCCCAATCTGGCTTCTGAGGATGCAGATCCCTAAACATATCATAGCTTGGCACGAAACCCTCAGATCCTTTAATATCTGAGATCGAGTTAACCTCGTCCGGGAATCTTCCCTTTGGTACAATACTCGACACCCCTGGTGTACTTTGAAGTGGAAAACTGTTACCAGGTAATTCTGCAGTTTGGTTCATGGGAAAATTTGACATTGTTGAGGCTGGTGAAATTAGATTGTAGCCTCCACCTCTGCTGTTAGTCGTAAATTCATTCCTAGCCAAAACCGAACCGGCGGTTCCATTCGGCAAAATCGACTGCTGTATTGTCGGTGGAAGCCTTGTAACGCTCGTTGCTGTACATTCATTTAGGATCTGTGATCGAGCTTGTGGTTGAGGTGTCTGCATCAGTTGAGAGCTAGTTTGGCCTCCTTGGGCACTAGCTTGCATTGTCATGTTTCCATGAGATTGTGCAGAGTGTTGCTGAAGATTAGCTAGCTGTTTCGGCTCCATCGTTGTCGGAATTCCATGAAGAAGATTCATTGGTTTACTTCCATTCAAATGTGGCTGTTGTCCATCACTGAATCTCAACTTCGGATTTTCGAAGCTAAAAAAGTGGTTCCTTTGGTCAACAAGAGGCATAGGCATGCCTGATTTCGCTGTAGACCGACCAAATCCCGCTGCTTGGAGCGTAGCAAGGCTCTGTGGCTGGAGTTGACCAGCAGCAGCGAGCGTTTGAAGATCAAGCCCGTTCAACGTCGAGCCAAATGCTTCTTGGGCACTCATGAATGTGTTGTTCAAATTACTTTGTTGCAGTGTCATTCCACTTACTCTTCTCAGGTAGAGGCGATATTTCTATGCATGAAAACGTGCAGCATATTTAGAATCTACTCGGAACGTTTCAAGCAGAGAGAACAAGATACACAAGAATTCATGAACATAAACGAGCTTCTTGATCGGTCCGTACCTGAAGATGGCTGGCAACGTTTTCTCTAGTGAGTCCAGGAACATTCATCAATTCGAGAATCTTCTTTGGAACAGCCTCTGTAATTATAGATCGTATTTTACAAAGTTTAGAGAACACTTAAACCCTCGAGAAGTCAAAAATCATGCTAAGAGTTCACAAATCCAAAGAACTAAGTGCAAGAAATAACGAGAAGAAAATCCATACTCTCGATTCCTAGCTGATTAACAGCGCCCACGAACTGTTGATGAAGCTCAACGGACCAAACAACCCTCGGTTTTTTTAGGGTCGATGAGTCATCCCTCTCCTCAGCATCGTCTATGTCCTCCTTCCTCCTCTTCGAGTTCCTCCAGCTTCCTTCATTAGCAGAAGATGAATAATCTGCTTCTTCATTCGCCTTTTGCTGTCGATCGACATCCTCAACACCAGATTGCTCCAAGTCCTTCCATTCATTCTTCCGCTTACGAACAACGTGCTGCCATATGTTCTTCAACGCTTCAATTCGAACAGGTTTTATTAAGTAGTCACAAGCACCATGAGTCACTCCCTTCATAACAACGTTTTTTCCGTCGTCCACCGACATCACTACACAGAACTCCACTCATTAGAAACCAGTCCCAATCAAGCTATCATTCACTATTATGAACTAACAATATGTATTCCTTACTAATCACAGGCAAGTCCATTTCAAGTCCAATGCATTCCAGAAGCTTGAATCCATCCATGTCTGGCATATGAACATCGCTCAAAACGATATCGAACCCGTTCTTGTAACGTCTGAGGACCGATAACGCATCCTCAGCTCGACTACATTTCGTTACTGAAACACCCAAAAACAAGACAAATTCTCCATTACTAACGGACATGTTCCCTAATCCAAAAACAACTCAAAATTATAGCAAACTCATGAACATTCAAACCAGCTCACGATCTCAAATCAAGAACCCTATATCCAAAATCACAAGAAACGATAGCAAAAGTGACAGAAATTTCACTCGAACGCTCAAGAAACAATCAAATCGCATAGGGGTACTTGAAAAACGAAGTGAATAACACAGATTCGAGAGAAACCGCTACCAAAAACAAAAAATATCCAAGCGGAATCGAAAAGGATACCTTCGTAGCGACAAATCCGAAGCATCTTCTCCAAGATCATAAGGCAGGTAGGATCATCATCAACAACAAGAACACGAAGGCCGGCCGGAAACTGGAGAGGAACAGATTCACTAGGTTTCCTTACAGAGCTCGAACTCGCCGTAGACATCGATCCCTCAAATCGATTCAGATTCACCCTTCAATACCCCAAATCTCAAACGAACGAAATCAATAAAAACGCCGAATATTGAGATAGCAGCATTTTATACTTCACTTTCGGCTTAAAAAGTGGGAAAAATCAAAAGAATCCATATGGGTTTGAGATGAAATCAGAGATAGAATAAGGAAATGAGAGTTTCCGAGAGGAATTTTATACAGAGCACTTGGAGATTAGAGCAGAACGGTTGAATAACCCTGTTCGATTTAGGGGCTCGTTGTTCATTGGATTATCGTAATATTTTATTCAAAGTGGGTCACTCCTGAGAGAGTGGATCCAGCTCATACAGGACTAAGATTTAACTAACCCATATATCCAAATCTACTCTTAAAAACTTTCAAATTCTTTACACTATTTTTCATTTCTGTTCTTTGTACAAATAAGAGACAACAAAATTGCACAAAACTAGAACGATCCACTCCCTTTCATATTAGGATAAGATAGCATCTTTCACGTAGTAGAGATTCTTTCTCCTATTTCGATCGCGTGTTTGATTAAGTTACTAGACACTATATGATAGAAATAACTCTCAACGTGCTCGTTTTTATGTTCTTTTTGAGTTCGAACAGAATCTGTACTCATTAAAAGCGGTTAGATTCTTTGTATATAGTCATTTCAATCATCCTGTTGTCTTTTCTTCTACAATATATTGCATAATTTTTTACCTGACAAATTAATTGTGTTTTTCTATCTTTCGGTCGGGATAAGATATTGTTTATCTTATTCCGTAGTTGCAAACATATCAACTGTGCTTAGCCCTCTAAGGTTAGCTCAGAGATTTCCAATACTTAGTTCTCTTGGGTAGTTCGGACATGTCTAGTCATCCTAAATTTTTGTAAATATCTCTTTTAGCTATGAGATTTTGATCAAATTTACATATTCATATAAAATATGTTATTTTATTTTAATAACAAAGTTGAAAAGCATCACTATGCTTTATATTAAATATAGATCAAGTTCCTAGGAATATGCTCCATGTTTGATAAAGGAACGTTCTCTATTTTTCTCTTATTCAATTTTAGTCGATAAATTCAAATATTTAATCACAAAAACGATCCCTGAAAACGACAGCCACTCGATTTCGATAAATTAACCTTTATGATTCATCGATGAAAATACCCACTTCCAACAAAACAAAACTATTTAGGATTACCCGAGTCTCAGACGATGAAATTAGCTAAAAAAGAAAACATAAAACTAACTATCTCGTATCTTATGAAAAAAAATAGTCAAATTTCGGTAGTTGACT